AGAATTACTCCTCACCTTGACTTTTAAGGCCCTTAGAGAAAAGGATAGCAAACCAAGCCGCCAACCTGGACCCTTCTTCCTAGAGAGAGGACGGGCACTGCCCAGGGTCACGTCTTTGTGGGTTGGAGAGGGCCACGGGAAATGGAGGAGTTCTTCCTCCTGTGGGGGTCTCAGGAGGCGTAGGGAGGCATCTTTTTTCCTGGAGCCCTGAGAGAGTAAGGCAGGGCCTTGCATTCACCACTGAAGTCCTGGCCAGGTGTGGGGACCACGCAGGGCAGCATCAGGCAAAGGACCTGGGGGACCGAGTGGGGAAGGCCCGAGACAGAAGGGCATGTCGGAGGCCCAAAGCCAGTGCTGAGCCAGCAGAGGCTTGGCCAGCTGCAAGGGGGGGCGGGGGCAGAGCTCGGGGTCTCCCTGCTTCTTAAAAATTATTACTATTGAAAACATTTCTTGAGCCAGGGTTTAGGAGAACAAGGTAGGAAAAACCCCTTTCCTGCCCCCAATCTACCAGCTTCTCCCTCTTGACCCCATGTAGATGTTTTAGGATTCTGGCCAAATTCCCGCCAGGACTGTGTTTGGCAGCACCCCAGAGCCAGTGCAGAGGCCTGCTCTGACTCCGGTGCTGGACGGCCGCCCCGCCTGCCCTCCCTGCCTCGAGGGCCGGCTCCTTTCCCCAGGCCTCTGTGCAGACCGGCACCTGCTGGACCGCACGGCCCTTGGCCCCTCGTTGTCCTGCTAACCACTGTGTAAAAGTTCCGGGCTTCCTTTGACCTTTCCGTCTTGCCTGGTTATGCTGTGGACGCCCCACTGACAAGCATCCCCTGCGGTACGGGCCACTGAGGGGGGGTACTGCTCGCCCCCCGCCTGTGGCCTTTCTCTCCCCAGCCCTCCTCCCCTGTGGCACTTTCTCTTTCTTTCTTTCCCCCTCTGTTTCTCTCTCTCTCTCTCTGTCTCTGTCTCTCTCTCTTTCACTCTTTTAACATGGTTTTCCTAAAAAGTTTTTTAATCAATCAAATTTGAGGCAGAAAATAGGTTTTGTCACGCCTGGTCCCGGGGTAATGTGACTCTCACTCAGGCTCCTGACAGCTCCTCAATGCAGGAAGGAGGCCAAACAGAATATTTCTCCGGGAAAGTGCCCGTTTCCATGACGCTGCCCCTTGTTGTCTGTGCCGGCCCCTCCTCAAGCTGCCGGCTGACATGGCCCCAGCCCCTGTGAAAGGCCGGGCCAGGAGCGGGCGTGTGAGGACGGGCGGTGGGCTGGGGGCAGGGGAAGGAGACGGCCCTGGGGGGGGGGCAGATGGGCCGCCTGACAGCTGCCTTGAGTGGGGACGGTTGGGAGCAGGTAGGAGAGAGGGACAGGAGTGAGCCCGGTGCTGCGTTGTTGCAGAGCCGCATAAACGTGGAGCTGGGCAGCCGTGGCTGAGAGTCTCCGAAGCCAAGTCCTGGCTGGGCGGTGGCTCTGGCCAGAGGGAACTGCAGATGGACGAGGCCCCCTCAGGTCCTGGTATGCTGGTCCCTGCACCTTCTTCACCCTTCACTCCCTCGTCCCTCCTCTCCTGGCCTTTCCTCCACCCTCTGGCCATGGCCGCCCCCTCTCCACCATCGTGGCTTCCTTCCTGCCCTCCCCGAACTCCAGCGCATCTTGTGCCAGAGGAGCTTCTGGTCGCTCCCAGCACCCAGCCCATAGTGCCCCACTGGGAGGTCGCTGCAGGCCTTTGGGGCTTCCCCTGCAGCCCAGTTTACCTCTTCCTCCTTCCCATCTCGGTCTTTCACCCTCTCCTCTCTCCTACACTTCTAGCTCTCTTTTATAATTAATGATTAGTTTTAATTGGTTTGCTTAGGCAGCCTGACAGCAAATTAACAGAAGCCAGCCCAGGGCTGCCAGGCTCGGGCGAGAGACCACTGTGCTTCGAGACTGGCCAGGGGAAGGGATGGAGGAGACTGCCCTGCAGATGCACTTCCTCGGCCCGTGGGCGGAGTGAGCTCTCAGAGGGAGGGCCAGGCCTCACCTGGACAGGTGCGGCAGCCAATAAGAAGAGGACACACATAAGGGCTCATGTTTGTCAACTTTCTCTGTGTACTTTTGTTTTTATTCTCCTCCTCACATCCCCTTCTGTGATCTGATTCGTAAGCAAGACATTGCCCATGCCTTCAGAGATGAGGGTCAGGTGAAATGTGGGCAGGGCCACTGCCTTTCATCTGGGGCCAGGTTTGCTTTTGATATCACCCACGCTCTCTTGAGCCATGGCCCATGGGGTCAGCAGCTTGATGCCTCTGGGGCCAAGATCTTGCTTTTTCACATGGACAAGAGAGAGGAGGTCACAAGGCTGCTGCCACTTAGCTCAGCTGCCTGCTGACAGTTACCTGCCATAGCCTGGAAACTCCAGAACCCGGTTTTGTTTCTCATTTGCCATAGTCCTCTGCACAGAACCCTGAACCCTTTGGTGCTCAGTTCTCTGGTTAGAGTTCTTAGGATTAAGAACACTGGGTGGATGGATGGACAGTGGATGGATGGATGCATGGATGGACAGCTGACAGTGGGTATGCTGGCATTTCTTAGGCACTTTCTGCCATGATCCCTGAGCACGTTCCTTTTCTTTCTCAGCTTAGAAGGGTTTCACTTAACTTCAGCCTCCCCAGGTATAGGGCCCCTGCTCTCCTCTGGGTTTTCCCAGCTGCTGTACCTCTCCCCTGGCCTTGCAGAGTCCTTCCTTAACTGCATCAGCTACCAGGCCCTGTGCCTGCTGACCACTCACTTGCATGGGCCAGAACCAGATATCAGGGACAGTGAGAGACAGGAAAAGATGCCCAGAAAAGAAAAGAGAGACAGAGATGAACTACTGAGAACTTGTCAGGCCCCCGTTGGGGTCCTAGAATCTACCCAGTGTCGCAGATCCCACCCAGAGACAGCCTCCCTGCTCCCATCATCCCGGCCTCCTGCCCAGGGCAGGTGGGGGACAGGACCCCAGGGCGCGTCCTGGTCCCCATATGTACGCATCTGTGCCCCTCCCCCTCCCTCCTACAGCCCCCGACCAACTCCTGGAAAGTTTCCTCCCCGATTGTTCTGTGTGATCAGATCTGCAAGTTGCTCTCTAAGCTTCTTGTCACATTTTGACTTAATGAAGTGCAACTGCTCAGGGATTTGGGTTCAGCGCTCCGGTCTCCCGCGCTCCCTTGTTGTCAGAAAACAGGGGTGGTTGGGGACGGCAACACCGCGCTGCAAGTCGTTATCATTCCGGTCAGTCTGTTTAACACAAAATTAAACAAAGAACTAATTAGTGCCTCATGAATTAATAAATGCACAGTTGCCAGGGAGGATGGGAAGGGAGAAAAAGGTGGTGGAAGGGAGATACTAGAGTTGTGGAGTTGGGGGGCTTTGGGGGGTTAGCAGAGGGCTAGCTGGGGAGGCTCAAGAGATCTCAGGTAGGCGCGTGTGGGACGGACGGGACAGTGATGGTGACACCCCAACCAGAGCCCTGGGCTGACTGGCCAGGACATGGGCTTTGGCAGCCAAACACACCCAGCACCTGGCACTGGGGGCTGGGGGTCTCCATCCCTGGGCCTTGGCCTGCCCTGCTGGCCGTCCATCTCATTCAGCTCTCCCCTCCTTGCCAGTTCCTTCCCTTGTCCCTTTCCGCCATGGCATGGCTCCCCTGTCCTCTCTACTGCCCCCATCTCAGTTGTCCCCCAGCTCTTTGCAGACACCCAACCTCTCACTGTCTGGATCAGATGGGCGCCAGAGGCCCAAGGGAGGGCCCTCCCGACCACTCGATGCCCACCGGACCCTCAGCCCTCCCAGAGCCCTGTGTCTGGCAGGGTAGGCTCCGCCCCAGCGGGTACCCTCTGCCCAGGCAGCCCAGCACAGGCGGCAAAAGCTGGCAGAGGACCGAGCCCTCCTTAAGAGGACGTGTCAAGTACAATTAGCATTATCTGTCTAAATATGTCCTGGGAACGGGAGAGCAGGCGGTGGGACTGGGTGGCATTCTGGGAGCCCTGAACAAGGTCACCTCCTCTCCCACAATCCCCCCAATCTGATTTGGGGATTACATAGCCTAAGGAAACTGGTGTTATTCCTTTTGCATCATTGATAAGCCACAAGTGAGGGAGAGGGGAGGAAAAACTTAACAAACAGAAAACCCTCCAGGAGGGCGGAGGAGTTCTGAGGCCTGGGGGGCAGGGCCTGGCTCGGGCAAGGGCAAGGGTAGAGGGCCTGGTCAGCAGGCAGAGGGCTCCTCGGGTGTTCTCTCCACACCCAGGGTCTGTGCCGTTAGAGTCTGCCTCCCCGGACTCATGCTCTGGGCAGGAGGGCCCGATCCTGGCAAGCTGGGTGGGGTGCGTGCCGGTTAAAGACACTCTAAGTTGTTGGGCCATTTCTTTCTCCCCATGTGGGCCCCAGTGTGGGTGGCTGTGATGAATCGGTAGGACCCCAGGGTGGAAGCCTGTTCCTGTAGGCTGAGGCTTCTCAGTGCCTTGGCCTCAGGTCCACCCTTGCCCCTCTGTCACCCACTTGCTATAGCCAATAGCATGGCGTCAGTCGTTTTTATTTTCAGGGCCAGAGAATGAGAGTAAAGGACTGGTTACTGCCGTGTTCTCTCATCGCCCCCAGCCCTCCCCGCACAGCCACCGCAGCTCCGTGGGAGTGTAGACCTCATAACCTGCAACCTCCCACCCCAAGTGCCCGTTCTACCTCCATGGAGCAGTGTGCATAGCATGGCCTAACTTTTCCCTGTTCAGTTAGGGGTGTCCTGAGAACCATATTTCCCCTGCAGTCAGCTCCTACCATTTTTTGAAGTGGTTCAGACTTTGGTTGGCATATACTCAAATGGGCTCAAATCAAAGCCCACTCAGCAGGTGTCAACTTCTGACGCCCTTGGCTGGCCCCCGAACATCAGCCCCTCGGCCTGTAGGGTGGCCACGAGCCCGTGGGTGCAGGGAGGGATGGAAGCTGGGGAGTTGCAGGCTTGGAAAAGCTAACTGGGTTCCTGTCTCTCCCACCCCAGGATGAAGTGACGCCCCCAGCTGCGTTCGAGGAGCCTCCAGGACCCCGATACAAGGTAAGGCCTGAGCTCCCCCCCTCATCCTAGTGTCCTTTCCCTTACTTGTGACCACTTGTCTAACGCACGTGTCACCCTGGGCTGAGTTGAGTCCTGCCCAGCACCCAGGGAGAGATGGGAAGGTGGAGACAGGGAATTAATGGGAGCCACTCTGTCCATATGAATGTGGCAAGGTGGCCCCAGTAAGAGTATCTCAGTTTGGCTCTTAGGCCGGAAATGGGCTGGGGACTCATGGATTGCAAAGAACGAGCTTTGGGCAAGGAATGTGCCCAAGGCAACTTGGGGCAACAAGGCATCTGTGGTGGCCGGGCTTGGGCTGCCCCATGGTCCCATTCCCGCCCTCAGCAGTGCTGTTGCCCGCTGGGGCAGCTGCTGCCAGCTCTCCCTGGAAGCTCTGCTGGTAGCTCTGCCTGGAGAACTCCAGCCCTGCCTTCTCTTCTCGGAGGCCGGCCGTACGTGGCTTCCTCCTTCTCCTGGAGAGCTGGCAGGGAGGAGACCACAGCCAGGAGCCCAAGAGGAGAGCAGGCTGCCATGTCCTGCTCTTCCCCAGGCCAGGGCTCCCTGGAGGCTGGGCACATGGGGGGCCAGCCTTCACAGGCTGTCTCAGTCCCCCAGGTGGTGGCGCGAGGAACCGCGGGGCCACCGGGCCTCGGCCCCAGGCAGTGCGGTGTCAGAGGTGACCGGTGGAACGCCAGTGTTATGTAAATAGCGGGGCCTGCCCCGCGGGCGAGCTGGCTGGCTGCAGCCATCCATCATCCCGCTCCGCGGGGCGGGGGACAGACACGGCACCGTGCGCCTGGCTCCAAACCTGTTTGTTTTCCCTTTGTCTCTTGAGTTTCGGGCCGGCTGCGACCAACGGGCTCAGGGTTTTGTCCCACTGGCCCCCTCCCCCCGAGGACGAGGAAGGGAGGAGATTTGCCGGGCTCCCACAGCGGCATCCCTTTCGGACTTCAAAGGCTCCCCCAGCATTGTCTGCGCTGGCGGGCAGTGGCCCTGAAAACGTGATCAGAGGCGGCCCGGTGTAGGGCAGGCCGGGCCTGCGCCCTGCACTCTCGCTGGGGCCCGTGGATTCCTCCCTTTGCCGCCAGCACCACCCTGGTTACAGCTCTGCTCCCGAGTCCTCTCTCCGCCTTTCTCCCCCCTGGTGCCCCTACTTGCTCCCTTCTGGCCACAACCGTCTTCTTTCTTGGCCGCAGCCTCGCTCTTCTCTCACGCAGAATCCTACAATGGCAAGAGCTGTGTGCTCACCCTTCACTCCATCCATCAGAACCTGAAGCCACAGGATGGCTTCTCAGGATGCTGGGAGCTGGGACTGGTTCCTGGATATCCACTTCCCATGCCACGGCTTGTTCTCTCTCCCTTCTTTTTCTCTCCCGTCTGCTCATAATGAGAACTTTGCTTTCTCTTGAGACCGGTGCCCCTGAAGGTCCGGGTTGGATACCTTCTGTTCCTAGGCAGCAGGATGGAGCCAGGCATCCCGGATCCTGAAAGTCATTCCCAGGTGCTTCCATTCTCTGGAGCAGGGCTTGGCAAAATACAGCCTGTGGGCCACATCTGGCCCACAGCCCGCTTTTATAAATAAAGTTTTATTGGAACACAGCCATGCCCATTTGTTTGCATATTGTCCCTGGCTGCTTTTACTCCTCAGTGGCACAGTTGAGTGGCTACAACAGAGAGTGTTTTGCCCACAAAGCCTAAAATATTTACTACCTGACGCTTTACAGAAAAGTTCGCTGGCCCCTGCTCTGGAGGTCCTGGTTTCTGCATTCTGCTCATTCTGGCTCTTGCTCTCTCTTTTGTTAATGGTAAATATGCACAACATGAAATGTACTATTGTAACCACACTTTAGTGTACAGTTCTCTGACATTAAGTGCATTCATGGTGTGATACAGCTGTCATCCTGCCCTGTGCGCTTATCTTCTGTGGGATTGCTTGGAGGGGCCCTGGCATTTGTCTGGGAGCCCTGTGCAGGGGGCTACAGCCCTGATCTGTTTGAGGAGCACCTCTCCCTACTCACCCTCTTAGCACCTCCTTCTCCACTCAGTCCTCCTACTTAGAGATCTGGGCTCTTTTTTGCCCTGGCATCCCAGGAGCCCCATGTTTGCCTTCCCCTGTAGCCTTTAGCAAGTTCTGTCACCTCAGAGCCACAGTTTTCACTTTTGCAGGGTTGTTTGGACAAGGGTGTGAGTTGTTGTGGCTAAAAGCAGTCAGCTCAGTACCTGATAGGTAGTTGGTGCTCATGTTACCCCTCCCTCCCAGAGCCTGGGTCTCTACCTGTAGAGGCAATAGCCATCCCTGGGCAGGTTCCGTGAAGCCCCCCACTCTCTGCCCTGGGGACCTCTGACCCCTTAGAGAAGGTGAGGCTCCCAGTCTAGTGAGTGCCTTGGAAGTAAAGTGCCCATGGTAAGTGCACGGGCAGCCCTGCATCTTCCACTTCTGCTGCAGGGTGCTGGGGAGTGGCATGACCTCTCTGAGTGCTAGTTTCTCCATCTGTAAAGTAGGGGACCCTGCCTACCTTGCAGGCTTGTGGCAAGGAGGACCCAGGATGCTCTGGGGCACAGCTGTGAAGGCTGTTGGGTGCTGCTGAGAGTGAAGTAGACAGGGGAAGAGTGGGGTCTGAGTGAGGGCCTGTCTGGGGCAGGGAGGGGAGGAAGCCAGGCTGTATTCCCAGCTGAGCAGGCATGGAGGTTACACAGTGGGCACTTGCTCTGTCCAGGGTCAGGGACCACGGCTGCTCTGGCACAGTGGCACCTCTGTGGGCAAATGTGGGAATCAGGCTCCAAGCCTGAGAGGAAGGGCTGGCAGGGAGGAGGCAAAGAGAAGGGAGCTGCCCTGCAGCCAGAGGCTTGGGAGCTGCCCTGCACAGTTCCCCGGCCTCCCTCTCCTGCTGTGTCTTCAGCTCTCTCTCTTGCTGCCCTCTTTTCACGGGCTCCTTGGCCTTTTGTATGTCTCTCTTTCCCCCCACAAGCCTTCTCTCTGCATCCCACTAGTTTCTCTTCCTCCTCGCCTTCCCACCACCCATATCCCCCCACCTCAGCTCCTTAGCTTACTCTCTCTCCCCCTCTCTCTCTCCTTTTCATCTACTCGGAAGGCTTTACTTTACTTCCTTGTCACCCTAATTGATTGCATTAACCTTTCAGCGTATTGGATTTCCCCGGCATCGTGCAGAGAGCCCTGTGCAATATGCTTATAATCTAAGCCATAATGGACAGTTTGCAGTCAACAAGCCCCTTCTCCCATCGGCCCCGTTGACATCTCTCTTGCCCAGGCCACCAAGGCCACCTCCCTTGATGGCAGGGGTGTGGCAGTGGAATAGGGCTGGGTGGATGCGGGCACGAGTTGGACCCACTGATGGATTTCCCCGCCTCTCTTCTTGTGCTGGCTCTGCCTCCTGCCTGGCATCTCCCTTCCCAAGCTCCCTGGCCCAGGTCCTTGCCAGGCCCCTGGTCTTTGTGAGTCCTCTCGGCTTGGCTTTCTGCTCCTAGGACTCTGCCTGACGTGTGGCTGATGGAGCTAGCTTGGATTTTGTGAATAAGAGAGTCCCGTGTTCCACCCAGATGGTTCTCAGAGCAAACTGTCCCTCCTTCACTTGCCCAGTAGGCTTTGGGGAAAGATGGCGAGGACCACTTCAGGGGTGGGTGGTGGCTGAGAGGAGGAGCGAGAGATCTCTGGCCTTGACTGGCCCCTGAGCCAATGGGAGGCCTCTGTGGCCCTTCTGGAAGCTGCATCCACTCCTGGGAAGGACGTGGGAGGAGCACAGGAGGGACCAAAAGAAGGGGATGTGCTGACTCCAAGGAATGAAGGAGATGAAGACCCTGCAGGGCTGGCCGTGGGCGAGCAAGGCAGCAGCAGCGAGGCAGAAGGCACTCGGACGCCTGGGTCGAGTCCTGTCCCCCACGCTAGCCTCACAATTGTGTGATTCAGGGTCCTCGGTAGGGGACGTCTCAGAGTGTCTATTTCCCGACGGAGGTTTGGCAGTAGCTTTGAACAGACCCACTCCCTCGTCAGAGGAATAGGGACATGGCACGGGCAGCAGGGTGGGAAGTGGAAGAGAAGCCTCTGCAGGCGGGATGGGTGGTGTGACAGGAGACTGGCAGGGAGGCGGAGGAACTGAGACCTGGCCCTCTCAGGCTGGCGGGAGTGGGCTGCCTCAGGTCACTTCCTGGATGGGCACCTGCTGGTCCGGCGGGAGGGACAACAGCCAGACCCTGCCAGCTGCCTGGGCCTGGGGGTCAGCCCCGGGCCTGAGTCCTGGCCCCCGTTGGTCCTGGCCGGGCTGTCAGCTCTCAGACCAGCAGCCCGATCGGCCAAGTCTTCATTCACGACAGGATGGGATGTCAGGTTGAATACATTAGTGTCAGGCTGAGGAGCAGGCGGAAGCTCCCATTAGCCCTGGTGGTACTTCCTCTCTCGCGCGCTGTCCTCTCCCCACCCCTTGCCCGTCGTCTTCTCCTCTGCCCACCCCACCTCCTCCCATCACTCCATCACTCCAAAGGGCACGCTTTGGCAAGAGGGGGCCGGACCCGGGTCCTTGCCATCGTCTCCCAAGGATTTCGGGGGTGGGCAGAGGGCACAGCAGGGAGAAGTCAAGCAGCGAATTAGAGTTTGTGATTGTCAGCATCAGGAGAAGCTAAATAACCCTGTAACTAGTATGAAGGTGAATTCACGGTCTGCTGCACATGGAGAATGTGAGTGTCTGGGAGACAGGGAGAGTGTGCGGCACGGAGCGCGCCCGCCATGGTGGGCAGCCTCCCCTCCAGGGACCTCGCAGGAGGTGGGAGGACCGAGCGCTCGCGTCCCTGCCAGGGCGCAGCTGCCCAGGAGCCGTGACCAAGCACCTGAGGCAGCTCAGCTGCTTGCCAGCCTGCCGGCCCCAGCACCAGGGGCCCAGGTAGACATTTGTAAGCACCAGCAGTATACACTTATGGACACCAGCCCAGGCCTTGGCATGCCAGCCCACCTGCCCGGATCCATATGAATAGCTAATCCTTATTGAGCA